CTATTACACTATTATTATTTAATGAGTAATGTTAGAGATTCTAAAAATTTTATTAAAATTTTATTAAATGTTTTATAGGGTATGGACCCACACAATCAGTTTGATAAAATTTGTGGTAGAATTTTTGGCACGTCTAGCATTTTTGTTCTTCACATCATTGTCGCATTGTTGCTGCCGTTAGGCTGTCGAAGTTGATCGTCCAAAGCTTCGCTCCCGCCGTTGCAAATCCTGGTAATTACATCTGTATTTTGATGCCTAATTATTATATGTCTGTTGCATAATATTACCCACGCTGTTTTCATTCCTAGGTATATGTTAAATAGATGCACACCAAAGTGTTTGTCAATATGTCTCAATGAACAAAATGTTTACCAGCCTGATTTGGGTAATTGGATTTTGATAATCTTTGTTAAATTTTCATGGATTGCTTTGATCCTTTTTCTATATATTGTTTCTTGAAATGATACCCTACGGAAATTTACTAATACATATGAAATAAAAGAGAGAGATTTTTATCATTTTGTTTCCTCAATGGACTGATAAATGAGTTCGTTTATGGATCCACACGCACTGAAGTCTGTTTCAAATTTACCTGCTTCTGTCCATTTAATTTTTGGTTTCAGGTAATTTTAAGTTCATATTGGAATTTGATGGTTTGACCATTTTCTATGGAAAAGTTATACTTGAAAAAAAACCATTTCTCTTTCATGATGCTTCATTTCAGGTATTTGTTATAGTTATTGTCCATCTGGATTTGGCTGGGCACCCCCCAAACAAGAGTTGCTTGTGTTCCTCTCTTTTAAAGAGGAAAATTTAATTTAACACTGCTAAAAATTGGATGGACTACATTGGAAATTTTTGGCAAATCTAGATAAAGAAGTTAAAAATTTTTAAAATTTCATACTGTCCAAATCCAGGATTAAATTGTGCAATTCAAACAAAGTTGAATCTGTTTTTCCCAAAAAATAAAAAAATAAAAATTTAATGGACAATGTTTCAATTCACACCTTTGTAATCAACTATCCCATTTCACTAATTTAGCATTCTCAACCATAATTCTCTGTTAGATTCATAATTTTGAGTAATTGGAACCATTAAATTGTTTGCAGCAACCTGCAATTAACACTTGAGGGAAGTGGAAGGCATTCTTAACAGAAAACCCAACTGAGATTTTGACAATTATAATTGAAGACTATGTGCAAACCCCAAAAAGGTTGATAAATGTTCACAAATGCGGGGTTAGACGAGTATATGGTTTCCAGTGTCTAAAATGCCCCAAAAGGGCGAGGATTGGCCCACTGTGACCGCCATGGTCCTGGAGAACCACCGGTTACTGGTTTTCACTTCTATCGCTTCGAAGGAAGCAGAAGAAGGAGTTGCTTATCAGGTGGAGGTAAATGTTAGAAAATGAATATAAGTATATCATCCAATTGTGTTTACTTGTATGAGATTGTTTTTGTATTGTTTGCTCAGTAACAATCTTGTAATGGGGTTCAGATGGAGATTAATGGTGTGGTACAAGGATCTTGCCCAAAAAGAAAGGAATCACGTCCGTTGAATTCAAGGGGTGTATCTCTATTTCATAGAGAATTTACTCTGCACAGACCTTGTTCAAGCCGATGCTTGTAAAGAGCATTCAGCTTATACTTGCTAATATGGTTGGTGTATGTTAAAAGCTGCAGGGAATGTGATGCCCAATTTTTTGGTAGTGGACTTTTACATGGTAATGAAATTTTTTAACTTCATTGAAAAATGAAACAAATATGAATATTGTATTCCAATTAAGCATTGTGACTGGGAATTATGCAGAGGAGTGATGGAGGAGGTGTTTTTGATGCTTTGGATCGAATGAATGGCCAGGCATTGTTGGGTGCAGTTCTGTTACTGCTTGCTAGGTGCTCACAACTCCATATTACTTGGATGAAATGCCTCTGCTTTCAAAAAGCATATCAGTATATTAGTTTATGAACTCGTTTGCATTCTAACTTGGTGTCATGGTTTTGATTCCCAGATTGACACTATATAATGTCTTTCTCCGTATTCATTTTATATATTTAAATATTTATTTATTATAATTATATATTATTTCAACTTTGTTTGAATTGCATAATTTAATCATGGATTTGGATAGTATGAAATTTGCAAATTTTTAACTTCTTTATCTAGATTTGCCAAAATTTCCAAGTTGTCCATCCAATTCTTTAGCAGTGTTAAATTAAATTTTCCTTTTTTTAAAGAGAGGAAAACAAGCAACTCTTATTTTAATGTTGTATTTAAAAAAGTTGGGGCAAACTCAGTTTTCATTTTTAGCAAGTATTGTGTGTAGTTTGATCAGAGTGCTTTATTGTTAAAAAAAGTTGAAGCTTTTGGTTAGTCAAGTGTTGCATTCATGATGTTTGTGTTATTGGTTCGGACCAAAATATTCAACGAAGCAAAATGAGTTCATAAAACATTTGAAGAAATTACGGTTCCGTTTGGTAAGCCTTTTAAATTATAATTTTACCAATTGATTTGAGTGTAGTGTTTGTTTTGAGTTTTTAAATCATAATTCTACATTCATTTTTTAAAACTCAATGTAAAACATAATCATTACTTTTTAAAACTCATAATCAAACACCTAATTCAAAACTCAATTCAAATCAATATTTTAATTTTGTTAAGATTTTAAATATTTTAATATTTTAATATTTTATGATTTTTTTAATTTTTAATTTTTTAATATTTTTAAATATCTTAATTTTTTAATATTTACGATTTTAAATTTTTAAATTTTAAAATATTTTATAAAAATAAATTCAAACTCTGTTTTATAAAAAATTTTTAAATATTTTAATTTTTTTATGTATTTGATTACAATTAGAGTGTAGAGTTGTGAAAGTAATATAGAATTTCGAGTTATGTGTTGGTTATGAGTTTTAAAAATAATTTCTTAATTGAGTTTAGTTTTATGTATTTGGTTACGATTTGAGTGTAGAGTTGTTTTTTAAATTTTAAAATATTAAAATTTTAAAATATTTAAATTATTTAAATTTTTATGATTTAAATTTTTGAATATTTATTTTAATTTTTACTTAAATTTTTTAGATTATTTAAATATTTATGATTAAATTTTTTTGAATATTTATTTTAAAAAAAATTATTTCCTTTGTAGTATTTTCAATTAAAAATATTATTAATGTTATTTTTTGTTAATAATAAATTTTTTTAATTGAATTTTAAAAAGAGTTTGGTTATGAGTGTTGATCAGAATTTTCAATAGTGTGAAAGTAGTGTGTTTTGTTATGAGTTATAACAATTTGAATACAAGAAAGGAGATAGGATTATGCTAGTTTAACTAGTTATGGGGGAATATATTGAACATTATTAGCGCATACGCCCTTCAAGTAGGGTTAGATGATCAGACTAAGAGGGATTTTTTGGAGCAAATGGACAGGAGATACCCGTAGGAGAGAACCTGGTTAAGGTGGAGATTTTAATGGCCATGTGGGCATAGATAAACTAGGTTATGAAAGGGTGCATGGTGGATACGGTTTTGGTAACAGAAATGAGGCTGGAGAGAGTATCTTAGATTTTGCGTTGGCTTCTGACCTGGTGGTGGCCAATACTATGTATAAGAAGAGGAGGAGCATTTGATAACCTTTAAGAGTGGATTAGTTAAGAGTCAAATAGATTACTTCTTAGTGAGAAAAGTGGACCGCCTAAAATGCAATGATTGTAAGTGATTTCTTGGAGAGAGTCTGGTCTCTCAACATAGGATTTTGGTACTAGATTTATGTTTTAGAGGGTAATACCAAGCTAAGAAGGATGGTGGGCGTCGTAGGACGAGATGGTGGGACCTAAAAGGAGATAAGCTAGAAATATTTAAGAATCGAATGGATAAAGAAGGTACTTGGGACTTAGAAGGTGATGCTAACACTATATGAAACTCGATGGCCAATTGTATGAGGAGAATCTCAAGGGAAGTGCTTGGAGAGTCGAAAGGAACGGGACCCAGCTCTAGGGAAACTTGGTAGTGGAGAGAAGAGGTTCAAGCGG